GGATCGACTTTTGGTGTTATTGAAGTATATATTGAAGCAGCTGCTCTTAGTGATGGTAATGGTTCTTCTACCAGTGGTGATAATAGTGAGAGTGATAATAGCGATAGGGATAGTGAATCAGAGCAAGATCCCGGTACATTATCTTTAAGTGACGATGACTTCATTCTCGATGGTGGTAATGATGATTTCTTTCTTGCAAGGCAAATGAGAAGAGAGGCTGATGATGATGCAGTTGTTGCTGCTGCTACTACTATCACTAATATAGTTCCCGTTAACATTCTTGAAAATGAGGATGAGGGTGAAAATGATGGAGACATTGATCTAGAAGAAGGGGATGAAAATTTGAGCCCTCCTAACTCTGATGGAGATGAAGAACTCTGTGACCAAGGAAGATCGAAAACCATTAGATATGTGACATTCTGAAATTTTACCCACTTGGGATTTATGAAATGGATAATTTTATGGACGTACTTGCAGTTAGATCTCGCCCGGAACTGATTATTCCTAGGATACTAACCGTTAGGGAAAGGCTAATTAGGGATTTAAATTCGCGAGACCAAAGAAACTCGATCGTGAATCGACTTTCGACCATAGAATTGTCGAGGTGACATTTTGAGCCAATGTAGGCCGATCCAAGGATAGTTAGGGATCAATTCGCCGCTGTCATATTAGCGGATCGCGGGTGATTCCGTTTGGCCACGAGATGAACTGACGAATGACCCTAAACCTATACCAAACGATCGCGCCCGTCGGAACTAGTGATCGATCCTCGCGATTAAGTGACCACCGAGGTCGTCACGACGCGAGTGAACTTGAACGTGGCTTGATTCAGTATCGGCCACGGGTCAAAAGTGTGAATTTCCCCAAAAGTCACCTGTTAGTCTAAGATACGCTCAAGTTACGTTATTTAAAATTTAGTCATTAATTAGAGATCAAGTTGGGCATTGGAAATTTAGAAAGTCACGACAGAACATTTGGACGACGTTGTTATTAGCGTGATCAGCCTTAGAATTATCCGAATCCTTCAGAAAAATCGAATTTCGGCTAGAAATGGAAAATGACCGTTTTACCCTTGGGCCTTTGTTAAGGCCAAGTGTAAATGGGGAAGGGCACTTTCGTAATTTTACCCTTACTTTAGAAATGACAATTTTTGGACAATTTTGCCCTTGGACTTTTTGTGAAATCCCCATTTTACCCTTGGATATTTTGGAAAAGATTCGATCTCGGCCATTGATCTCAAGATAAGAACGAATCGTGACGGTCGATTGGAAAATAGAGAGAGGGGCAAGATGGTCATTTTGCCAAAAGGGGGTCAATTATTGGGTTATTTAAAATCAATTTTCTCTCTCTCCCCCTCTCATTTCTCCTTCACTCTCTCTCCCCCTTGCCGCGCGGTCATCGCCCGGCCACTGTCCGCCCCATCGTCGCCCGTCCGGTCACCGAGCCATGCCCTCACCACCCTCATGCCACCTCCGTCTCTCTCCCTCCCTCTCAGCGATCTCTCTCTCCCCCGTGGCCATGAATAGCCGGCAAAGCAAGCCGCCGCCGCCGTCGCCGATCGCCGCCATTCAGCCGGACCGCCGTAGCCGCCATTCCGCCGCCGCGTGGCCGCCAGCTTACCACTCTTTCTCTTACTTGGACGCGCTTAGGATTCCAAGTAAGTTACAATCTAAACCCTATTTAGGATATCGGGTATTAACGGACTAGTTTAGACACGGTTTAATTGGTTTTTGGGGCTGATCTAGATGAGGGGCCTTAGGAATGAAATTGTGATATTTTGATGGCAAATTAGAGGCCAAATAAGGGCTGTGATTGATTGGTTTGAATGTTGGAAAATTCCATTTGGCGCGTAGAATGGATAATTTGATTCGGTGATTAATTGAGTGAAATTGTCGTGTAATGCCGTGATTGTTGTGCTATGGTTTTTGTGGTGAAAAATAGCGTGCTATATGATGGTTGTATGTACGTATGTGGGCTGAATTGTGACGGTCGAATTGGGTGCGTTTAAGCGCATGTACTTAATGCCCGAGTATGTGAACGTGTGAGAATTGAGGCGTGCGATGTGCGTGTGATCACTAAAAAACCCTGAGGCATGTTTACGCGGGGTACAGATAAAATACGGCGTGTTGGCATGTTCACGTGGTCACAAAATCTCTGAGGCGTGTTTACGCGGGTCGTGATACGAATGTGGGGCCTGAGACGTGTTTACGCGGGCCGTGGAAAGAGATTGAAAGTGAAATGTGTGATGTGGCAAGTGAGAATGTGATCGGGCCTGAGGCGTGTTTATGCGGGTCACGATAGCATTGTGTGATATGGCAAGTGGAAAGTGAGATCGGGCCTGAGGCGTGTTTACGTGGGTCGCGATAGGAATGTGGGGCCTGAGGCGTGTTTACGCGGGCCGAGGAAAGAGATGGAAAATGAAAATTGTGTGAAAGGGCATGAACGAGTATGAAATGTGGAGTTCGGAAATGTCATGTGTACGATATGTGCTTTTGGGCATGAGAATAGCTTGGAATGTGCATGTGGTTTGAAATTCGTGTACTTGAGACTAATGTGTAGGTCGAGCCTAGGTAAGTGCATTTATGCGCGCGATATGTATGTATTGAATGATTGAGTGTTTGGACTTGTCTGGAGATACGTGGTAGCTTAAGTGGGGTTTAGGCTGTCAACTTATTGAGATTCGTCTCATGGTTATTTAACCCAATCATTTCAGAACCCCGCCCTGAGCCATGAACCTACCACCGCTGCCGCCCCAGCGTTTTGGGATTCCGATGCACACCGATCACAATGTTGTAGAGTACCCGATAGACGATAACATGACCTGGATCAAGCACACTACTGTAGTCTGGGTAGATATAGGGTTACCTCTCTGGTAGGCCCACACCTATACCACCTGGATGTTTCGGGATGGGTTTGATGAGTTTGGCCCCGTCCGCGGTTTCGATGTCCCCTTTGACGTAGTGGGGGACTGGGACCCGTCAGCCAGACCTCCTCCTGATGGCAAGATGACTAGTCTGGAGACTAGCCTGGCACAGTCCGGACATCGGCCTGCACCTGCAGCACTTGAACCTTGAGTAGCCGAGCCTGATCTAGAGCCGGAGGAATCCCAGGCAGGTTATGACCTAATGGATGTGGACCTAGGTGTGATACCAGAGGAGGAGCCTGAAGAAGAGCCTGAAGAAGTACCGGAAGAAGAACCTGAGGACGATTAAGAGGACGAGTCAGAGAATGAACCAGAGGAGGAGCCGGTAGAGGAGCCTGAAGAGGAGGAGTGGGTAGAGGTTCCACTAGAGTCGGGTGATGTGGATAACCCGATTGAGATTGAGGATGATTCGGAGTTCTCAGAGGAGCAGATGGCTCAGAAGGATTCATACTCGAGTTCTGAGGAGTCTGATTCAGAGTGGACGCCATCTCGAGAGCGTAGGGGTTAGTTTAGGGGTTAGGCAAACCTTTTGAGGTGTTCCATTTTTGAAGATAGGGTATATCCAGGCTACTGATCTTTTGATGTCAGTGGTATATAGTTTAGAAGTTTGGTGTGTATGTAAATTATGTGGATTGTATATGGTGGATATGGTATAAGTTTGAATCAGTAATGAATGTTTATTCTCCCTTTTACCCCTAATCAATTATTGTCCGGGTGTTGGTGGCTTCTGCTGGTGTTTTATATCTCTTATGTGATCGTTTGGGTCGGCGACGTTTCCTAGGACGTCGCACTAATTCGACCGAAGAGGGGTGTCGCGAGCTCGATAGGATTCGGGGCGTGACAAGATATGACCCCAAATGGGATCATAAAGAAATACAGTTTAAAGTAGGAATGAGATTTGCCTCACGTGCTCAATTCAAGAAAGCTATGCAACTTTATGCAATCTTGAATGGATTTGACATTGGATGGAAGAAGAGTGAAGAGACAAAAATGGATGGTAGGTGTATGAATGGCTATGAATGGAGAGTTTTTGCTAGCTAGATGCAAAGTAAGAAGACTTTCATCATAAATACTGTTGGAAATGAACATACTTGCCCTAGGAGCATGAGAAATAAGAATGCAACGTATGTATGGCTTACGGAGCAATTCTTGCCTAAAATTAGAGCCAACTTGAAGTATACAACATCACAAATGCAGGCGGATGCAATGGAGATGTGGGCACTGACACTAAATAAGAGGACTTGTTATAAAGCGATTAATAGAGCTATTGGAATCATTAGAGGTCCATTTGTTGAGCAATACAAGTTGTTGCACTCTTATAAGGCTGAATTGATTCGTTGTAGTCCGAATAGCACATTTGACTTGGAAGTTGGACGATATAATACGTTCAAGAGATTCTATGTGGGCTTCAAAGAACCGAAAGAGGGTTTTCTAGCAGGCTGTAGGCGAGTAATTGGATTGGATGGATGCTTTACAAAGACTTTAATTAGAGGGATGTTGCTTTGTGCTACTGGTAGAGATGGAAATAACCAAATGTTTCCAATTGCATGGGATGTGGTTGAAGCCGAAACTGAAGAATCTTGGACTTGGTTCCTCGAGCTACTAGTGAAAGACTTGAATGTAGGAGATACGGTTGTGCACAAGCTTTACTAATAGAAGTATTATGTTGTTTATAGACTAACTTATTTGCATGTTAAATAATGTGTTGCAGGGTCTTCTCAATGTAGTTTCTAAACTCTCTCCTCGAGCAAAGCATAGGAATTGTGCTCAGCACATTTATGCTAACTGGAAAAATCTATACAAGGGAGAAACATTTAGGAATTGCTTTTGGAGAGCTACATATTTGACATATGAGGCCGATTTCAACATAGCAATAAAAGAAATGAAGGAAGAGTCTGTTCATGCATATGAAGACTTCATGAGATAGGGTCCATAATACTTTTGTAGGGCATTTATCAAGTGTGGACAAAATTGCATTGCTATCAAGAACAATTTGAGTGAAACGTTCAATGCATATATATGCAGAGAAAGGGAATGTCCCATTGTTGATATGTTAGAGGGCATAAGAAAATTACTTATGGTAAGAATGTATGAGAAAAGCCAATTAATGGTTGGTTCAAGAGATGAGATTTGTCCAAGAATCAGATTGAAGATTGAGGAGGAAAAAATGAAGTCTAGGTTTTGCATTCCAAGGTCATCTACGGCTTCCAGATTCGAAGTTGAAGTAAATGATGACACGTTTATGGTTGATCTGAATGAGAAGACATGTACTTGCAGACAGTGGGATATATTGGTGATACCATGTAACCATGCTATCTCATGCATCAACTTCATGAAGTGTAACGTAAATGACTACGTAGCTGATTGCTTCAAGAAAGCTGCGTACGAGCGTTGCTACCAATTTGCATTACCTACCTTGAATGGAAGGAAGATGTGGCTAGAGACTAGTGAAGAGCCTTTATTGCCTCCACCATTTAGAAAGCTTCCGGGGAGGCCCAAGAAAGACAGGAAGAGACCCAATGGTGAGAAGAAAAAGGATGAGAAAAGCAAAAGAATAAGGAAGCCAAGGGTCACCAACACCGATCCTACTAAAATATCTATATCCGGTATTACCATGAAATGCTCCAATTGTCATGGTATTGGACACAACAAGACAACATGCCCCCAACCTTCGGCACCTTTAGCGATCAAACTAATGGTAAGGAAATTCAAACACAAATGTGATCAATTTTCCCTTAAAATACCTTTCTTATATATGTCTATTATACAGGGCAAAAGAGGTAGGCCAAGGAAGCATTCAAAGCATCCAACCATTAAAGGAGGGGCATCTAACAAACAAAGTGAAAGTACCACAGCTGGATATGTAAGAGCACAATCAAATATTGCCAGATTTCAGAAGAGGAGGGTGAGTGGTCCACCAATACTGTTACGGCTAATGCTATCACCTAGAGGGGGTGAATAGGTGATTTTACAAATTGAATGATTTAAACGTGCGGAATGAATATAGTCGAGGTCAACAACTTGTAAAATTAATATCAGATGGATTCGTATAACAAACTTGTATATAAATTATTGTCAGATGATTACGTCTGATGACTAAGACGACGTTCTGATGAACTTATTTGACAAATATGTATGCAGTATAATATCAATAATAATAAATAAAAGTTTAGAGATAGAGAATACTGCATACAGATCTTTATAGTGGTTCGGCTTTATTGAGCTTACGTCCACTCTCCACGCTGGCAGCCCATTGGCTGTATTTCACTATTGAATCACCAGAAGATTACAAGAGCTGTGCTTCTCAGATGATAGATAACACTATCACGTACACTCTTCACTCAAGTAATTTTCTTTCTAAAAACACAACGTGGAAAACAGTAATCACAAGTGTGTAAGATCGAAGCTCTATTCAAACTTTGGAATTCTCGATTCTGGTTCTTGCTTTTTGTACGACGTTTGCACTCCTTTTATACTCCTCTACTTCCAATCAATCCTTAGGACAGTCTTCAGAGTATTGATCTCCAAATCAACCCGTTGGAGATTCTTCCCAAAATAGGATGCATAGCCGTTAAAATAAAAACCATTATCTCCGAGTGATTTGATCGCCCATACAATCAAATCAAGGTTTTCATAAGTGTAGTTCTTCGTATTTGAGGAACGATCTTGTGATTACCAATCTTAAAATATCAATTTGATTATCCTGCATAAACATGCCAAAAATAACACTCATTGAATCTGACGAGTAATTTTGAATCTGATGACAAAGTCATTTCATCGACTAAGTCTGATGACTCAGTATTTACCTGCATCAAATAACTTAAGTGTAATTCTGGTCAGTATTAGATAGTTTTGTCATTCGTCGAAACTTATTAGGGATTTTGCTCAACAAATACAATTCATATGGTTTTTTATGATGCCAAAGTAAAATGTTAATATGATTTGTCTTCTTATAGATTCTACAAGGATATGGATTTTGTGTATCTGAAGCCACTGGAAACTCATATTTAAGGGTAAACATTTTATTTTGTTGAGGATTTTTTAATCTACACTGATTAGCATAATAACATTACGTTTTTTCCCTCGTTTTTAGATGCCTGGTAGTAACATAGTACAAGAAATTCATCAAGGTGGTGCAAATCATACGGTGGATCTTTCAAGCCAAATTTCTAGACCCTCTCAAACTCAACAATCTCAAAGTGAAGCAAGGCAATGAACCTGTAGGGAGAGTTGGATGTTTGGTGTAAAGCTTGTTCTGTAAAGCTTGTTCAAGTTTAGTATATATTAACTTTTTTTGGATGGTTGTGATATAGAACATGCTTTTGGACCTCTGTTGTCTGGTGTGGATTGTGCCTTTTTTGGCTAGTTGGCTGGTTGAATGTCTGGTGTAAAGGCTATTTTGTAAAGCTTGTTGAAGTCTGGTGTAAAGGCTATTTTGTAAAGATTGTTGAAGTCTGGTAAAAGCTATTTTGTAAAGCTTGTTCAAGTCTGGTAAAGGCTAATTTGTAAAGCTTGTTCGAGTATATATTGATCCGTGGTTTTAGTTACGTACTCTCCATTTTGTGTGGATAATGTTATTTGCATTGTGATGATGAATTTGGTCGATTGCATGTGGCTTGTATGCCGGAAGGGACTCTCTCTCTCTGCCCATTTTGATGATAAATACTATTGAAATTGATTTATGGTTTCACAGCTGCTAGAATAGGTTAATATCCTAATTTGGGCTTCTCTGCGATATTTGCATCTTAAGTCTTCTTTTATATCTAGAAAAGTATATTGCTTCTGGCTCATTATGTAAAATAGTACTTCATTTGTATATCTGCGCATACAATCTGTCTTTTAGTTAGAAGGCATCTTCCGAGGCACAAGAATGAAGTGCTGCATTTGGCAGGCTTCCAATTGTCTTCTCATAATGATTCCAATAGAAAGAAATAATTTCTAGTATTGACGATATAGAGCCAATGTTAAAGTATTCTGGAAAATAAGCTCGATTGCACATCACAACTCGGTCAAATTTGAAAAAAATTGATGGAGGGTAAATTTGTCACGTGTGTACCAGTTTGAGATTTTTGGTGATCAAAACAATTAGTTCGGGGTAAATTTGTCATAGGTATACCAGTTTGGGATAAATTTGTCACAAATATATCAGTTTGGGGTAAATTTGTCATATGTGTATCAGTTTGGGGTAGATTTGTCACATGTACCAGTTTGGGGTAAATTTGTCATGTGTGTTCCAATTTGGGGTAAATTTATCATGTGTGTACCAGTTTGGGGTAAATTTATCACATATGTATCAATTTGAGGTTTTTCGTTATATCAAACCTGCCACATCACCATGCCATGTCACGAAGTGTCGTCAACATCAGCAAATTTAACAGAAAAATTTGACGGAAGTTAACGCAGTGTAAAATTGTTACAGGTATACAAGTTTAGGGTTTTTTGTGGTAAAAAAATTAGTTTGGAGTAAAATTATCACAGATGTACTAATTTGGAGTTTTTTGTTGTATTAACCCAAAGAAATAATATCCAATATAGCTTAAACTTTAGGTTCTTATCCAGCACGTCTCGTCGTCTACTAATGGATGCTGGGCACAATTTCAAATTTCGATAAAATTTGGGGACTTCGTTGAAATATTTTCGCGTCACCTATGACACCTCACAACGTATGACGGGCTACAACGAAAAAGCCAAGCAGCAACCTTAGCAGGCTTGGGCTAGGCGCTGACATAAGCGAACAGAGTGGACCCCACTTCACTAAGCAAAAAACCTTAAAATAATTTAATCTTTCTACTATGCAATAATATTCCCCACGCACTCTCTCTCTCTCACTCACAATTTTGATTTCCATTGAAATTATTTCTCTTTGTAAAATAAGAAAATTAGTTTACCAAGTCGAAGAATTTTATCTGTGCAGTTCCATTCCCTACAATTAAATTTCTAATTTTTAAGAAATTTTTAGTTTCGTGAAATCCTTAAGATTTTTGTTACAAAATAGACGCATCCATATCCTCTAATAATATGTGAGTTGCAAGGTATATGGTATATTAATGGATGTGTGTATTGTCATTTTGCTTAAAACATGTCAAAAAAAATCCGGCCTTATTCTAAATAGAATTGTAAAATGGTGTTATCATGATTTTACATCAATTGAATTAAACAAGAAATATTTACATATCAAACCAAGCATCAATAAATCGTTTTGACATCGTCAATTCGATATACTGAACATATATGTTCTAAAATAGATATTTATAATATGCATTCCTTAGTTGTTACAATAGCTCTCCAAGGAAAAGCTTTCATTCCACCAAGAGGTCTTCTTTTCGAGTAAACTAATAAGACTTAACAGGAAAAGATCCATCTCTTGCCACTACTCCAAGACAAGGTATCCAAACTAGTGAGGAAAGTCTTAAAGAGTTATTCAGCAAATAAAGAAGCTAACAAAAAATTCAAGTTCCCAATTTTGGGCTTGTCTCTTAAAGTTGGTCTCCCAAGTGATTTTCTCTTAGGATAAACGATACCAATCCGACACAAGAGCCTCCTTGTCCTAGCGATGTCAAAGAGGTCAGGAAAACGATCTTTGAAAGACATATTCCCACACTAAGTGTCAAGCCAAAAGAGCATCCACTTATCATTTCCCACTATAGGACTCTGTATGAGTAACAAAGTCACTCCACTCAGCTGTAATCCGCCTCCAAACACCGCGCCCAAGAGTCAATCTTCTACTATGGAAATCCAACCGGTTCTTTCAAGGCCAGATTTAGCAATGGCCACTTTCCTCTAAAGACGGTTATTTTCAGCATTGAACTGTTAGCTGGCCGTGAGGCACGGCCGAACGCCCTAGGATCGCCATAGCAAGAAATAGAGGGTACGGTAAAAGGATAGGCGAGATTTATGCACCTGTTTTGGAATTCATCGCCTCTGTATGTGGAAATGACGAAGAACAGGTGCCGGAGCTCTTCTCCCCTATAACCCCCGGAGTCCCTGGCGCTATGAGACCGCCTCTGCCCTCACAAGTACTGTATGCAAGGTTTGAGAGTGTTTGAGAGAGAGTTAGGTTAAGGGAGGGACCTCTAGCTCTATTTATAGAGTTTCCAGCCAAGCCCTCTCATAATGGGTCGAGCTCAACTCGGCCCACATAAGCCAGGCCCATATCAGACTGATTAAGAATCATTATGTCCAACCTTATTAGACCAAGCCCGTAAACGGTTAATTACACTCTCAATTAATGTAGCCCACATACAGGAAAACTCTTACATTCTCCCACTTTGGCTATATTAAGTGAAATCGTACTGTATGTGTGCTCCTTTATATTGGTCTAGGGATTATTTTTAATAGTCAATCTGATCCCATAAGATCTCAAATACTGAATTATGGCGGTAACTGCATGAACATCAAACGCAGAGCCTTCCATGGTTACAAATGTATTTGACTTTACTGATATGGATTCGATATGATTGTGTGGCAAATGGATAACACCTCATAAGGAGTTATACCTTATGGGTCATACCCTTTGTTAGTCCACATTCTCTCTCCTTAAGTGTCACAAAAACTTGATGTGTCACTAGACAATATCTTTACAGTTCCAATGAACCTACATATGTCTTACCCTTATTGTTAACATTACTTTACGTGTAATAAGACATATCCTTAAGGCTAACAACTGAATGCTCATAGCCTTTACTCAAGATTTACACAGTACCTTAAGATTTTCACATTATATGTGTATTTAACATGACAATAATGCATTCAGAAATACCTTATTGTACGCAAATGAGTTGATACACATCCAAAATGTTACTAAATGTAACAAAAAACACAGATGTAAATTTTATTAGAGCAAAGACAAAAGCAGCTCTCACTAAACAACAGCATCCCATGATACTCCTAAGCCCATGTTAACGACATGCCGTTCATATATACAGGGGTGAAGGCCTTTAGTTAGTGGATATGCTACCATATCATTTGTGAAAATATGCTTTACTGTAATGTCACCATCCCTAACTTTTTCCTTTATGGTCAAGTACTTGACCTCCATATGCTTAGACCCCTTGAGACCTCTGTTGCTGTTAACAAACAACACTACAGAGTTATTGTCACAATATAACTGTATGGGCCTATCCATAAAATCAAAAATGGTTAACTCCCTAATGAGGTTCCGGAGCCAAATTGCCTGAGTAGCGGCCAAAAAGCATGCTACAAACTCCGCTTACATGGTAGAGGATGTCATTGATTTATGTTTCTCACTTTTCCATGATATTGTACCTCCTGCTAACTTAAAGATGTAACCCGTTGTCGACTTCTTTTCATCCTGACAGCCAGCAAAGTCTGAATCCGAATACCCTACCAGCTGTAGGTCCTGAACATGTCTGTAGATCAGCATATAGTCTTTTGTCCTCTTTAAGTATCTCAAAACCTTATTGGCAGCAACCCAGTGATCGTGTCCTGGAATTGACTGATATCTGCCTAGAAGTCCTGTTGCAAAAGCAATGTCTGGTCTAGTACAAACTTGAGCATACATGATACTTCCAAGTGCACTAGCATAAGGTATATCCTTCATTTGGGTTTTCTCAATATCTGTATGAGAACACTGTGACAGACTCAGTTTATCACCCTTTACGACAGGAGCAATTCCTGGCCTGCAGTGCTGCATACTGAATCTTTCTAAAATACGATCAACATATGTCCTCTGAGACAAACCCAATACTCGGCGAGAACAATTCCTATGGATCTCAATGCCTAGGACAAAAGATGCCTCATCAAGGTACTTCATGTCAAAATTCTTCGACAACATTTGCTTTGTCTCATGTAGTAAACCAATATCAGTACTCGCAAGCAAGATATCGTCTATATAAAGTATGAGAAAAATAAATTTCCTCCCACTGACCTTGCTGTATATACACTGATCCAACTTGATTTCAATAAAACCGAATGAAGTGACAACACTATGAAACTTCAAGTACCATTGTCTAGAAGCTTACTTGAGGCCATAGATAGACCTTTTCAGTCTACACACAAGCTCACCTGAATCATCAGCTGTAAAACCTTCGGGGTGCACCATATAGACTTCTTCATCAAGGTCTCCATTCAGAAAAGCAGTCTTAACATCCATCTGGTGTAACTCCATGCCAAAATGAGCTACAAATGCCATAATCACTTTGAAAGAATCTTTAGAAGAGACTGGAGAAGAAGTTACCTCATAGTCTACTCCTTCTTTCTGACTGAAACCCTTGACTACCAGTCTGGCTTTGAACTTTTCAACCTTTCCTTTGGAGTCCCTTTTGGTTTTGTACACCCATTTGCAGCCAACACGCTTGTAACTTTTAAGCAATTCAACAAG